CTGGGGGGGGGCTGTGGGAATGTGGGAGTCACGGGGTGGGAGGGGCCACTGTCACCCATTGTGTGACCTCGGCAAATCATTTATCTGTCTGGGCCTCAGTTTCCATGTTTGTAAATCCAGGATTAAAAGGCCTCCCTTTGCTGAATGGGGCGTGAGGACCAGCGACACTAGGGGGCTCTAGTGAGTACTTGATAATATTTGCTTTGGGGCGGGAGAGAGGCTGGGGCAATCCCCAGGCTGCTGGGGACTCCAGCGCAGGCTGCAGGGGCCCAGGGTAGCAGGGTTGGAGGGAGACCACATCATAACCCAGGTTGCCCGAGGGAGGCCTGGCCTGGTCCTCCTGGCTCCCCAAGAGCTTCTCCCCCACCTGGCCCATCCCTCCCTGACTTCAGTGAGCTCATGCTTTCTCTTCCCAGGGAAGAGTCCAGCCCAGCCCCTCCAGACCTCATTCCCTCCGTGGTCCCCACCCACTGGGACGGACCACCCTCTTCTTCCCATCTTATCACCAGGCCCGGGGCTCACTGCCCCGCACCCACCAGCCTCACAACATTTTCTCAGTCCCTGTGGGCGCTGAGGGGCCGTCTGGGGAGAGGCCTGGCTGCCTCCCTGACATCATCGCTGGGTTGGGGTGGCCCGACTGAGCTCCACGGGGTGGGGGGGGGGGGGGGGAGGGTCGGGCTGCCTCTGTTCAGGCTGGTTTCAGGCTGAGTGGGTCCGTGGGGCTGCTTCCTGTTCTGTTTATTGCCTCTGAGTTCAGGAAACCATTGAGTGAAACATCCTCCCCCACCCCCGTGCCCCACGATTATTTAATAGGAGCCGCGCTGTGGTCTCTCTCTTTTGGAAAATCCAGTGGGAGAAGGAAGCTGTCAGCTCAGCTCTGACATCAGCTCTGTCCTGGTGCCAAGAGTCAGGGTGGCCAGGGCGGGCGGGGGGTGGGGTGGGGTGGGGGGGCTGGGGGCGGGGTGTGGAGGAAACCAGCTGCTGGTGGCCCCGTGATGTGAGGCTGCCACACAGTTCCCAGGGGCGGGGGCTGGAGGGTGAGGAGCAGGGAGTGTTGGAGACACACTCGTGGCACACACGAGCGTGCGCGCTTGGGGGCAGCCTTCCCACTCCTGCCAGAGACCCTGCCACATGCAGACACGCACTCTCCAGGACCCTCGGTCACGCTCGTTCACACCCTCACGCCGAGGGCTCGCCAGGGCAGCCAGAGACGTGCGGCTCCAGCCTGCCTGCCACACAGCGCGTGTGCACTCGCACCAGGCCAGCCCCAGCTGACACGGCCGTGGACACGCCAAGGCCCTGGCCACTCACCCATGTGTAAATACCGGCTCAGGCCCAGACGGACAGACCCCCGGGGAGTCTAGCAGGAGCCCCCAGACAAAGGCTGCAGCCACTTCCTCCGCCCACTGCCTTTGGGGCAGAAGAAGGGCTCCTGGCGCTGAGGGGCAAGGTCTGTGATGACCCTGGGCCCCTCTGGTGGGGCCCCCAAGGGTCTGAGCTTGCAGCAGGGGGTGGGCAGTGAGAGACTGGGCCCTGGGAGGGCCTTTGTCCTCACACAGCAGATGCCAGGGCTCGGCCTCCAGCCGCGAGCACCGCCCTGCTCCACCTGCCCCTCCCCCCCCCAGCACCTCCACCCGTTCTGGAGCTGGGGCCAGGGCCTGGCCGTGGAGGTGGAAGTCGGGAGCCCCACGCTGCCAGCTGCTGAGTGACCCTGGGCAAGTCACCCCTTAGCACCTCGGGGCCTGGCGTTCGTCATCGATACCAGCGTCTAACGTTTCTGACCACAACCCACACTTAGAGACACATTTGCACCTCTCTGCGGTGCGGGGTGCGTGGACCGATACCTGCAGACAGCGGAAAAAAATCACGCAATGATGCTTGCCCTTGCTCCTGGCAGGCTGAATGATTCTGCTATTTCATTTCCTTTCTGAAAGAGGGGGGGGCACCCTGCAAACTGAGTTCATGGCCCACTAGGACACCAAAGTGTTAAAATGCTGCCTACGCATCCCACGGCCTCCAGCTAGTTCAAGATGCAGGGATTGCCGAGGGGTGGGGTGGGGGGGTCACGGTGTTTGCAGAGACTAAAAAGCCACACCTAGTAAGTGCTGAATGATCAGGGAGGACAGCCCCCCATTCTGCACGGGGAGGTCTGAGGGCAGCGCCCCAGGCAACGGCATGCTTCCTGGGGCCAGAGCTGCCCCTGCCAGTAACGGAGACTGTGGGCTGCTTCCCCGCTTTGCAATTTCTCTCGGATTTGAAGAAATCGTGCAGTCACTCTGATTCACCTCCAGGGGGGTGATTCCTGACGTAGAACCAGTTGGGAAATGTCGGGATGATGCTGGGGGCAACCGGGGGGAGGCCAGGGTGGCTTCTGGCCTTTCCTTGGCCCCAAGGGGGTATAGCTGGTCTTTGTTAGAGATTTGATGGGTGAGGGTGACAAGGGGCAGACTGGAGTCCCCCAGCCTGGACCTCAGGAACCTCAAAGACAGCTGGGCCGGCAGGAAGGTGGTGGGAAGTATGGCTGATTCCCCTGCCGGGCTTCTCAGGAGCTGCCTGCTCCCCCAGACCACCCCCCTCACCTCCTTTGAACTGAGAGGACCTCGGGAACATGACCCCCAGCTCCAGGTCAGACCCAAGCCCCTGGTTCAGAGGCTCTTGAGGCCGCACACCAAGGTCAGATTAGAGCGATGCCTCATTTTTTGGGCACTTTATGTTTCCCACTTCACATTCTCATTCTGGCCCCAGGGCACCCCCACTTTCAGAGGGCAAACTGAGGCTCAGAGAGAGGAAGCCAGCTGCCCAGGTCACACAGCTGTGAGTGGCATGGCAGGGTTCGAACCCGGGTTTGTCCGACTTTAAGTCACCTCCTTCCCGCGGGCACCACCCCAGCGTAGGCCCAGGCACACACGGCCGAGGCACGGGCCGCGGGGAAGTCACGAGGGTGGCGGGTGTTTTCGCAGCGCTGCAGGGTGGAGGTGGGGGCCGCAGATAGAGCTGCACCCTCACTCCTCAAGCACTGAATAATGAAGTGCTGTAGTCTTTTTGGACAGGACACCCAGCTGCTAGGGCTCGTGGCAGGAGTCAGGAATCCCTGAGTTTCTCCTGTCTCCCCTAGATGCCCCTTTCCAGGAGCCTGTCCTGGTCACCCCTCTGGGCCCCTCAGCCCATCTGACTCCCCTGGGCTCAGATGGGAGGCTCAAGGTCAGGGCTGGGTGTAAACTGATGACTGGGAGCAGCAGCTGGTTAGGTTTTCAGAGAACTAGATCTTAGCTGGATGCATGGTAGGGGGATGGTGAAGGAAGGAGGGGCAGCCTGGGCAGTGGGGGTTGCCCGGAGCACTCAGTTTCTGGGTCACTGGTCTTGGGGAATTCCCCGATGCCCAGCTGCTTACCTGGTGAGTAACAGCCCTGGCTGCCCACACAGGGTACCTGGCTGTGAGGGTAACTCCCTGCCACCACCCCCCACCCTGCCAGTGGCCACTGCCATACTGCCCTCTCCCCTGAGTGCCCCGAGGTCCAGGAAAGAGACAGACAGGCAGGCAGGGGGCTGGCCCCCACCCCCGCACCCCCAACCCAGGCTCTGCAGGGGGTGGCTGGTGATTCAAGCCCCTCTGAGTTGGGCTCTGTCTCCTTCCTCCTCGGATGGGCCCTGGGGGTGAATCAGCTCCTGGGGGCGGTGAGGCTGGGTCAGCCACTGTCCTCAGCTCAGACCTGGCTTGGGGGTGATCAGGGGCCAGGACGGGGCAGCAGTGCACCACCATGCCAACTTCCCCCACGCAACCCATCTGATCTTACCGGGGTGCCCCCGAAGATGGCAGCTGTCAGGCGGTCCTGTCTCCGTTATCCAGCAGCGGAGAGTGGCGGTGTCTGTCCCGCAGCCCGTGCCCTCAGCCCTGGCAGACGCCTCTTCTGTAAAATGGAGACAAGAACCCAAGTTCACAGGAAGGTGGTGCGGACCAAGACAGGCGGAGAGGGCTGCTTGCGGGGTGCTCCAAACTGCGCTGAACCCTGAGTCCTCACACACTGAACTCACTGTGTAGGGGCCATGATTCCCATTTCACAGATGACAAAACCGAGGCCGGGTGGGGGCCACTTCCCCACAGTCACCCAGTTTGTAGCCGGTAGAGCCGAAGCACCAGTCCGGCTCGGACTGTGTCCCAACTTCACACCTCCGGACCCTGCACCTCCTCTCCACGAGAGATTTGGCAAAGGCACCTTTTAGGATGCTTCCAAAGATACTTCACACCTGCGCTGGCGTCACCCTGAGCAGGTGCTGTCAAGAGTAACCCACCCCATCCGAGCCCTCGGAGAGGGCTGTGAGACTTGCCTCCCTTTGAAAGGAGCGGGAAGGACTGGGCAGACCTGACCGAGACTGGTCGTGCCCCTCACTCCCTGGGCATTGTGAGATGGTGCTGGCATTGGTACAAGTCAGAGACCTGGGTTGATTGTTAATGCTGTGCAGCACTGGGCATGTGCCTTCAGCACTGGGCATGCTCCCAGCCTCAGTTTCCCCATCTGAAAAAGAAAACCTTGATTACTTTCCAGGAGAGGCTTGTGCACGGCACGTGAGAAGCAGCAGAAAAGGAGGGGCTGGTGGCTGCACAAAGCATGCAGGGCTGAAAGAGCGCCGAGAGGGCCCTGGGGAAGCCCCACGCCAGGCCATGGAGATGAGCAGCTGGGTGCACAGCCACCTAGAGAGAGCACCCTCTGGCCCTTGCCCTGGGCCCGGCAGCTGCCCCCTCAAGCGGAGGGGGGCCCCCTGTGGGCTCCAACTGTCCCCTTCGCCCTAAGGCCCATCAAATCCCCAGCAGGCCCAGTGTGCAAGAGCAGGACAAGCTGTAGATGAAGTCACAGCTGGAAGGGGCCGGGCTGGGGCTGCCACTCCAGGGTGGGGCCTGGGGCCACGACCCCGGGAGCAGGCAGCCAAGAAGGGAGGATGCCTTCCGTGAGGAAGCCGGGGAAAACACACACAGCGCAGCGTAGAGAGGGAGGGAAGAAAATAAACTCCAGGAGACCAAAGCCTGCTTGGAGTTTGGCCTGGGCGGCGGATTCCCGGGGGCCCAAGGCCACGTTGCAGGCGGCTCGCACCGGCATCGACGAGACCCTGCCCAGCCTTTCCCCCAGAGGCCCAGCGCAGTTGGTGCTGGACATGGACAGGAGAGGGAGGCTGGGCCCAGGGTGCCAAGGGGCCCAGAGCAGTTGGGGAGCACGGACCAAGTCAGGTACCATGAAACGGGACACTGAGGCACAAGAGGGTTAAGCGTCTTCTAGACTCAGCACCTACTTCCTGTTTCCTGTGGGGTGGGGCTGAGATTACATGGTGGTTGGGGGTGGACTATAGGGCCCATGTGGGGTCTGGGGAGCCAGAGGGCAGTGCAAGGCTCTGCAGATCCACTGGGAAGGATGAAGGGAGGAACGCGGTGGGACAAGGTGGCCTCCTCGGGGCACCTAGTGAGAGACTGGGGTGGGGGAACAAGGGATGGCTAGATGGGGTCACAGTGGAGTCCTGGCCAAATAGATTAGGGGTCCATGTGAGGAGAGCTAGGCTGAGTCAGGACAGGGGTCCTGAGATGTGGGGGGTGAAACTGGTGCAAAGTTCATGTGCTCTGAGGGTCAGACACGGGTGCTGGAGCCTGAGGCACGGCGGGGGTGGGGGGGACTGTGAGAAGAACAGGAGATCTGGGGTGTCCTGGGGCCTGGGCTGGTTTAGCCAGGCTGGGGCGGGTGGGCCTCCTGAGGGTGTAGGCCAACCCCAGGTGTATGGGAGGGGCAAGCGCCAGGTGGGCCTCCCATGGCTGCCACCAAGGGAGAGACAAGGTATAGGGGGCAGGGAAGAGGAAGGAGCGCCTGTCTGGACTCTACCAGCCTCCTCCCTGCTGGGAAATGCCAGGTGGGATGGGCAGTTTTATCACCCCACATCCAAGGCCCTGCTAGGAGAGCCTGGAGAGAGTAGGGGGTGGGGGAGGGACAGCAGCAGGCGGGTGGGCTGGTCCTGGCATGGTGAGGGAGGATGGCATGTGGCTGCGCGGGTCTGGGATGTGGGCAGATGTGGAAGAGGGTTAAGGGCGAGGGACGGGCTTTGTGAGCCCCTACCCTGGAAAACTAACTCTCTCGCCTTCTTTTCTGACCCGGGGTCAGGCCGGAGGACTGCAGTGGGCTCACGGGGGAGTAAGACGTCTCCTGGGACACACGGCCCTCCTGTTGCACAGGGTGGCCCCAGATATGTGTCTCGGGGTCAGGTCCTCCTACCTCATTAAAAAAAAAAAATACTTCTGTGCATGTCGCCTGTCCCCCACCATTCCCTCCTGCCGCCGCCCATCGTTTACTCATCCACCTGGCCGCGCCAGTCGCTGGAGTTGGAGGCCCTGCCTTAGGGACTCTAGAAGTACCTTTTGGGGAACGCCATCACCTCTCTTGAGGTGAACCCCTCAAAGGGGCTTCCGAGGCAGGACTGGGAGGCAAACCACTTCTGTCCTCCCCACCTATCCCTCAGCGCCCCGAGCGGCTGGTCCAGGGTGTTGTGGCTCCCTAGGTCTCTGCTTTGACGTCACTTTCAGAATGAAAACTCTGGACCACCGGCTCGGCAGGGGTTGGGGAGGGTTGCGGTAAACCCCACATACACACCTTTCAGAAGCTCCTCCTCGGGTTGCCCCCAAGAAACCAAGTTACCACAAACACCCCCTCCTGGGTGCCCCCTCTCCTCGGGCTCCTCCCCAGGGGCACAGGTACCACAGGTACCACAGGTGCCTCAGCAGACTTGCCGCCGGCCTGACCCCGGGGGACCCTGGGCAATCCCTCTGCAGGGGGCAGGCCGGAGGAGGCTCCCTCTGAGGCTGCTTCCAGAATCCACGTTCAGATCTGCTTTATTACCGTCTAAAGTCCAAGGCAGGTCCCAGCCCCTCTTCCTGGAGCCTCCTTCCCAGTCAAGCCCCAGCCCGCCTCCTCCCCACTGCCCCCCACACCGCCCCCCACCAGGGGACCCCAGGTGCCAGCCTCCATCAGCCTGCCCAGTCTCAACCCACCTCCCCAGACCCAGGTGAGTCAGGGCTGTCTGGGGCGCCCGCCGTCCGGGGGACCCTGATGACGGGGCTGGGGACCCTCCTCGTCGTCTTCGTGAAACAGCTCCCGGGGCAGCCACGCAGGAAAACCGCAGGCCGTTCCGTCGAGGAGCTCGTTATAATTTTATCAATCAAATTCTTAGAAGAGTGAAAAGTCGGTTCCCCCCGCCCTCCCCCCCCGCGGCCCCCCCTCCACTCTCACTTTCTCCCATTCATAATTTCCTATGATGCACCTCAAGCAACTTCCTGGACGGGGATTCCTTCTAAATATAGCTGTTTTTTTGTCGTGCAGGCTCCAGTATATAAATCAGGCAAATTCCCCATTTGAGCATGAACCTCTGAAAACTGCCGGCATCCGAGGAATCCTCCGCGGCCCGGCCGAGCCCAGCCCAGGATGAAGGTCTTGGCGGCAGGTAAACGCGCCCGCCCGCCGCCCGGCGTCCGCGCCTCCCGGGGCGCAGCGGGGCGCAGCGGGCAGGACGCCCCCGCGGCGGCCGCGGGGCGCGGGGCGCGGCGAGCGCGGGGCCGGCGGCGGGCGGCGCGGGCACATGGCCCCGGCCCCGCGCGCCCCCCGGCCGGCCGGCAGGTTGGCGAGCCGGGGCCGCCGCGCGCCTCCCGCGCCTCCCGCGCCCGCGCGCTCCGGCCGCGCTCCGCGCCGCTTTCTGGGAGTCACCCCCCTCTCTCCCCTGTCTTTCCGCTTTCTCTTTCCCCGCGGCCCGGGCTGCGCCGGGGAGGGGCGCCGCGGCCGCGCAGCCCGCACACTCCGGCGCGGGACGGGAGCAGGTGCCGCCTCCGCCGCGGGCGCGCGGGACGCGCGGGCTGCGCGAGGTAAGAGGGGGGACCCGGGGGCCCCGGCTCTGCCCGGCCGCGCGCGGAGAGCCTGGGGGCCGGGGGAGGGGACCGGAGGCTGTGCCGGCAGGGGGAGCCGGCGCCCCGCGCGCCCCGGCCCGGCTGCGCCCCCGGCCCCGCGCGGGGCCGCCCCAAGGACCCGCTGAGGGGACCGGGGCGCGGGGGGGGGGCAGCAGGCGCCCGGGGGGAGGGTGACCCCGACAGGCCCGGACAGCTCCCTGCTCTGCTGTCACCTTTCACTTTCCTTCCTCCCCGCCCACCGGGCCGCGACCTTTTCCCTTCCCAGTTCTCCGCTTCCTCCCCCGCCCGGGGCGCCGGGGGCGCGGGGCGCGGGGCCCGGCCGGTCCTCACCCGGCCCGGGTGGGCAGGAGGGGGGCTGGAGGCACAGGGCTGGGGGAGGGGAAGGTCTGAGCGGTTTGGGATGGGGTGAGGGTGGCAGGATGCGGTGGCGTCGAGGGTCCTAGGGAGGGGAGGGCGCACGTGGAGGGCGCGGCGCAGGGAGCGCAGGGAGAGGCGAGAGGGGAGACCGGCCTGGGAGGAGGGAGAGGGGCAGAGAGGCCGCCTCCCCGCGGCCCCCGCGGGCGCCCCGTCGGGGAGATGAGGCTGCCACGGCCAGTCACTTGGAAGCAAGGCTTCTGGGGTCCTGCCCCACCGGGGAGGTGCGCGGCCAGGGGCCTCTCTTCCTGGGAACCCCTGGGTGGACACTGGGTGTTTTCTAGTCAGGAGGCCCCCAGGCCTCTAGGCCTTGGGAATCTGCTTCCCTGAGAGAAAGGGCTGGAAGTTTGGGTGTCATCTTGGATGACTGGCGGGTGGGAACAGCTCATGGGGCTCCTTCTCTGGGGAGGAAGCGGAGAAGCAGGCGGGAGGCCTCGAGAAAGCTGAGGGAAGCAGAGGTGTGGCGGGAGACTGAGAGGAGGCCAGTGACATCCTGCAAACTGGAAACGGGGAGGCGTTGGAGGGGGAGGGCACCTCTGGCCCCACCTCCCCGCTCATGGCCCCGCCTGCCTGTCCCCAGGAGTTGTGCCCCTGCTGCTGGTTCTGCACTGGAAACACGGGGCGGGGAGCCCCCTCCCCATCGCCCCCGACAACGCCACCTGTGCCACACGCCACCCATGTCACAGCAACCTCATGAACCAGATCAGGAACCAGCTGGCACAGCTCAATGGCAGTGCCAACGCCCTCTACATTCTCTATGTAAGTCACCCCGGCCCTGGGGAGGGGGTGGGGGTGGGGGCCTGTTTGCTACTCTGACCTGGGCTGTGAGGGCCGGGCAGGGAGGAGACCTTTGGGGAGCTGGAAGGAGAGGCTACATGGGGGCTTGGCTCAGCCACAACCAAACTCCCGCAGCGTACCCCCAACCCGGCTGGTAGACTGGAACCACTTTCCTAGGGTGTCCAGTCAGGTGGGGCTGAGCTGGGAGAAAAAGGGGGGCCTTGCACTTCTAGGGGTTCCTCCACCAGGCAGAGCAAGAGGCTATGAGAGATGAAAGCAGGGAAGTGGAAGAGAGGCGCCTTTGGGGTACAGGCTGTGGGTATCTAGGGTGCAGAGTTGTCCAGGAAGAGGGGGAGTATGATGGGTGAAAGTAAGTGTGGGGGGCCTGCTGGAGGTGAGACGCTGCGTTTCCCTCTCTGGCCCCATGGCACCGGCGTTGGTGCTGCTGGCCCCTTGCACAGGCCAGGCCTTGGTGCTTCACAGCGTGTGTCCATGGCCGTGGCTACTTTGGCTCTCGGGGCAGTCCTGGGGAGCCTATACGTCAGAGGCCAGGGGTGGGAAACCAGCTCAGAGCTTGCCTGGAGGCTGGCTTCCACGTCACCTCCCTCTGTCTCTCTGCTCCTCAGTACACGGCCCAGGGGGAGCCATTCCCCAACAACCTGGACAAGCTGTGTGGCCCCAACGTGACAGACTTCCCGCCCTTTCACGCCAACGGCACAGAGAAGGACCGGCTGGTGGAACTGTACCGCGTCATCGCCTACCTTGGCGCCTCCCTGGGCAACATCACACGGGACCAGAAGGTCCTCAACCCCAACGCCCTCGGCCTCCATAGCAAGCTCAACGCCACGGCAGACATCATGCGGGGCCTGCTTAGCAACGTGCTCTGCCGCCTGTGCAGCAAGTACCATGTGGCCCACGTGGACGTGGCCTACGGCCCGGACACCTCAAGCAAGGACGTCTTTCAGAAGAAGAAGCTGGGCTGTCAGCTCCTGGGGAAATACAAGCAGGTCATCGCCGTGGTGGCCCAGGCCTTCTAGACAGGAGGTCAAAGCATGCAGTGACCCGAGGGATCATGTGGGTGCCTCTCAAACCCCACGCAGGGGCTGCTGAGGGCTTCCCAGCCTGTCTGCCCCCTCCAGGGTGGTCATGATGAAGTTGAACAGAGTCGGTACTTCTATAGGCAGGGCCTATACGATGCCAACTAGAAGGCACCCCTTCTTCTGGGTGACTGAAGCCAGGCACCGGGGTGTCAGGCTGGACTTCTGCCCCCACCTTGTTCCCTCCACCAGGACTGTGTGAGTGAACAGTGTGCCTTCCCCACAATCACCCTGACTGCAGGCCTCTGGGGAATGCCAGGCCGCCACAGAATGGCCACCACCAGTGCCTTTGATGTTGCTTAGGTGGACTTTGGAAGGTTTAGTTGAGACTCAGGTAGGTCAGAGGGACTGGGGTCCCAAAGGACTCGTCCCCAACAAGTTTGGCGAATGGAAGTGAGAGAAGGGAGCGCCGGGCTGAGATGCCTTTGCTTGGGAAACATTGGCGAGTCCAGGCCTAGGCACCATCCTGTGGAGGGTTCCAGAAGGAAGTCACTGTCAGTAAGCTTCTTGGGAGAGGCAGAGAGGCCACTTTCAGACGTGGGAAGGAAGGTGCTGGAAGAAGAGAGGCCCCCAGTCCTAGGCACGTTCTCCTTCCTCTCCTCGCTGTCTCTTCTGCAGCCTGGGAGACTGGGGTGCTGTGGCTGGATCTGGGGGTGAGGAGGCAGGAAGGTGGCAAAGTCAGGTGAGGAGATTCTGAGGGAACCCAGAGTCTTCTTTCTAGTCCAGAGTGGATAAAGGAGAGGATAGGATCACGCAGAGGCCATGGAGGCCCCGGGAGGCCACACACAGGCACGTCAGGGGCCACCGGCAGCCATCTCTGATCCCTAGAGCAAGGAAACAGGAGAACCTAAGGACCAGGGTCGGAAGCAAGCCTGAGCCCCGAGAGTGCTGTACGCTTGACCCACCATGATTGTCTTATTTATTATGATGCCTTATTTATATTAACTTATTGGTGCTTTAAATGGCAAAGTTATTTCCCCTTTCCTGCTTCCCTCCTAGCAGAGATAATATGACGGTCTCCATTAAGGAGCCAGGGCCAGGCCTGCCCTGGTCTGGGAGCTGAAGATGTTACAGCTGGAATCAGCCTACAGGTGAAGCTCAGAGAAAGGTCAGGGTCTTAGAGAACTGGTCAGCCTGGCTGGGGGTGGGAAACCCAGCTCCATCCCCCACCTCAACCATGACTCCCTTTAGGGTGTTCGGATCTTGGCTGCTGGGCAGACTGGGCCACTCTGTGGACTGGCCGGGTGCCTTTAGCCAGGGCGCCATATTGCTAGACTTCAAGGGGCTCCTTCAGCACTGTTCTGGTGACCCCTGGAATTGAGCTAGAGGGGGCCCCCTTCAGATTGACATGCCACCTCGGAGACTTGGGCATGGCAGCCCTGGTGGCTGCCCTGCTGCCTCCTGACTGGCTGTCCAGGGGCCGCGGACCAGGCCTGACCTGGAACCTAGCATGCTTGCACACCGGGGCCAAGCTTCTCCCATGTCCTAAACACCCCTAGAGGGCCTCAGAAAGCTGGGGCAGTACAGGGAGGAGCCCCCTGTTCTAGAGAGGACAGGGAGGCCCTGGGACGTGGACCAGGAAGCTGTGGTCCCTCCTGCCCCACCTCCCCCACTCCCCACCCATGTCTGGGTTCCCAGGCAGGGAACCCGATCCTTTCCTTTGTGCTGGGGCCAGGCAAGTGGAGAAACGCCCTCCAGGCTGGGAGCCCGGGAGGAGGAAAAGGAGCTGGGGCAGCTGCGAAGAGCAGTGTTCTGGCTTGTTCTCAAACCTTTCTTGGGCAGCGATCCTAGCAGTTCAGCCAACGTGATTATGGTACTTTGCACTCACTTTGCACCTTTCCCTGTTTTCTATGCACTTTACCCAGACCCACTGGATGGTAGGTGGGCAGGCGGCAGGCCAGCCGGGACCTGGGCCGGAGGGGCTGGAGTTAACCCACCCACTGGCAGCAGCTGCCATCCAGGATCTCAGCCTGTTGCCTCCCATCGCTCAGTTCCTTTGGGGAACGTGGCTCAGAAGGGTTGGGGCCAGCTGGGAGTCCCATCATCTCATCACCCCATGGGCACCCACTCCCTGTGCTGGGCCCACCTGGGCAGGCCCTGGCTCTGCCCCTCTCTGCTGCTACCCCTGCCCTCTCCTCCCCAGCCCTGGCTCTGCCCCTCGGTACCCATCTCAGTGCTTTTCTAGAAGCACTCTGGCCCATCACACAGCATCTCTGAATTGTGGTGCCTTTCTTTGTGTGGCTAAAACTCCGCAGGGCAGGGAGCTGGCCTTCATCTTGCGTCTGCGGGTGTTGGCGCCTGTGTCCCGGGTCTGGGCCCACCGAGGGAGAGGCCTTCAGCAGAAGAGGCGCAGGGCAGTCATTTTGCAGTTACTGGGAGAGGAATTGGGGGGACCTTATTTATTTAAAACAATTCTAAACAAAGCACTCCTGGTTCGTCTCCCCTACTCCTCTCCCTCCGTGTCCCCTCCTGGGGGCCTCCACCCTGACAGCAGCCGTCCAGCTCTGCCTCAGTCACTACCAGAGTAGGCTTGGCCCGGAGGCTGGAATCTCATGAGAAGTTTATTTCCCTTCGGCAGTGCAGATGTCCTCGCCTTCGGAAGCCCCTGGCGTTCCTCCCGCACCTGGGGGTCTCTCCCACCCACACCGTTAGCTCCATGCCTTTTTCTGTGTCTCCCCCTTTTCTTTTCCCTGGAGAGGAAAAGGACTTGGGGGTAGCGAAATTCTTCTTTGATGAATGTACCCTGTGGGAATGTTTCATACGACAGATTATTTATTCAATGTCATATTTAAAATATTTATTTTTTATACAGAAGAATACATTTTTTAAGAAAAAAGAGAAATTAATAAAGAATCTGCTCTTGGGAAGGTCTCCAGTGCTTTCATGTGGGGAGACAGGGGTGGGGGGGCCAGACGGCTCAGCCCTAGAAAGCCAGCTCGGCGGGGCCCTGCCTGGCGAAGGGCCGGGGTCAGCGAGGGGTAGCGAGGGGTACTTCCGCCAGGGGAGGGTGCGGACATGGGTATGGGCTGGAAGGTGGAACTTCAGTGCAGGCAGAACAAAGTGGTAGGGTTCTAGATCATGGGATATGGGCAGGAAAGGGGGGTTACCCCAAAGTGGGGGGGGCTATTAGTATGTCTTAGCTCCTTCCCTCCCCGTTCCTCAGCTCTCACTGTAAGCCCATGAGTCACTGAGAGTCCTCGACCCCATTTAACAGAAGGGGAAACCGAGGCTCAGAGAGATGAAGACACTTGGCCGGGTCCTATTGGTGTTATAGGGCAGCCCCGATATTAAACGGGTTCCTGGCTGTGGGTCCTCACCCGCGCGCTTTAAAGGGACTTATGAATACTCTACTACAGACACACATAAAAAAGGGTTAATAAAAGGTTTATGTACAAGGGAAAAGGAAATAAGGAAAATGTACAACTCAGGGAGAAAATAGGGAAATAAAGTCTTTAATGCGTCCTACCTGATCTGCCGACCTGGAAACCCAAAGTCACTCTCAGAGCTGGCCAGACGCTGCGAGCTGGTGGAGAGTCAAAAATGGGGGATCCCCAAAGCCCACGTGTCTGCCTTTTATATCCACCTGGCTGCTTAACCCCACCCTCAGGTCCCAGCCACCTTCCCTTTGGTGGTGATGGGATTTGGAGTTCCCAGAGTCTTTGGCTTTGGCCTGGGGTGGGGGTGGAGTCCACAAAGCCTGTATGGAATTAGCTTTGGGTCATCCTTTTCCCCCTAACATTGGCAGATGTTTAAGGCCAGGCTTCTGGCTCCACACCTCATGTGCTTTCTTTATGTGGCACTTCAGGAACCCAGAGGACGCCAGCTGTCAAGGCCTCTGTCCCCCAGGAAGGGTCCACTCACCCTGGGAGCCAGCAGGCATGGGTGACTCGGGACAGAAGTTTTGGGGTCCTGTCTGGAATAGAGCAGGGTGCTGGGGCCAGAATAAGGGTTGACCCTCAACGGCTTCTGGGCCTGAGAAGCCCTCCCAAAGTGGACGCTACTGTCCCTCCTCTTGCCTCTCACCTAAGCACCTCTTTCCACTGCAACTTTCTTCCCAGCCTCCTGGGACGCTTTCCTTGAGGAAACAAGAGGGGTCAGGACCTGATAGCCCCAGACAGAGGGACTCCAGAGCAGGCCCAGGTGTCTCCCCTGTCCTCTGCAGTATGGTTTGGGTCTGGGGCTCCCCCTGTGGAGACTCATTTTAGGGACCTGGGCAGTTTTGCTGAGAGTCATCCACCAGCTAGTCCGTGAAAGTGTCAGGTCCCAGGCCGGTTTCCAAAGAGGCACAGGATTCAGGCTGTGCCTTCCAGAAGCTCACGGATCAGTGGGGACGATGAATGAGTGCTTTGGGGAGGATGAAAAGACATAGAGCAGGTGCCAGTCAGGGAGGAGAGAGCCCTCACTGCCCTGGTTCTCTCGGCACCAGCTCCAAGGAGGGACTGGACCCACAACATAGGTGGTCAGGAATGCAGAATGTCCCCCCACCCCCACTCCCACCCGGACCTGTGGAATCAGAATCTCCCCTTTAACAAGTTTCCAGGCAGGGCGAGCACCCATTCAAAGCTGAGAGGGGCCACGCCGCCCTCCTGCCATCTCTCCTTCTGCAAAGATTCAAGTGCAAACTGCCAAGGGCAACGCTGCTGCAGCTGCTTGGAAGGAAGAGGCTGTGCTGGCAGCGGACCCACAGCTGTTTCGGACTTGCCCTCCAGCGCGCAGTCACGCAGGCAGCTCCAGGCCCTGCAGGCGGCCGCATCCCAAGGCCAGGCCACACCCTGCGGCGTCCTTGCTTCCCCGCTTCCCCGTTGCTTCCAGGGAGGCGAGGTCGAGGCTTTTCAAAAGAAACCTTTACTAGGAAACTAGAGGAAAGCGAAACAAACACCAGAGCCTAGAGACAAGGGCCGAGCGGAATGCGGGACCACGGGGGCAGCTGCGGGGCTGGCTGTGCCTGCCCTCCCGTGTGTCCCTTCCTCTGTCCTGGGACTTCTCTGAGAGCGGGGCAGGTGCTCTGGTCTCTGCCCAGCCCTGGCCAGAGAGCGAACAAAAGACCTTTAATTGATTACTGGGTCATCCTTGCTGTAAGAGGCAGCACTGGTGCGAAGAAGGGAGGCAGCCTGCTCTGCTGGGCAGGCCCGCCTCTGCCCCCCCACCCCTCCCTGCCCCCTACCCCCCAGGCCTGGGTCCTGTCCGCTCTGCCACGTGTGGCGGGTCCTGTGACCCTGTGGAGGGGTGGCGAGTCCTGTGACCCTGCCGGGTGAGCTCATCTCTCTTATCTGTGAAATTGCAAGAGTCATCGGTGCTCTATCTCCTGCAGGAGGCTACCGAAGGAAATGCTTGAACGGGGAGAGGGAAATGCTTTTGCAGCAGGGACTGGCCTACCCAGCCGCCGGTGCGGATGGAGAGAGCAGCATCTGACTGCGGCGCCTTCTCTGTGGGGAAAAGGGTCATGTCACCCAGTGAACGTTGAAGGCAGCGCCTACGGCTCTGAGTCCAAGGCCAGGGGCAGGTGGATGGGGACGAGGGCTAGCAGGGTGGACACACTTCCAGCTGGTGGCTCCTTGGGTGGCACCCTGAGCCCCACACCTGAACGAAGCTGCACAGAGAGGCCTCTTGACCTCAGGGATGTGGTGAGGCCAGGGGGACCCCAATACCCAGCTGAGCCTTCTCCCAGCCTGGCTCTCTGGAGGTCACCAGGGTAGGGGGTCCCCATTCTGTTAGGGGGAAAGGATGTCCTGAGCTAATCCCATACAGGCTTTGTGGACTCCACCCCCACTCCAGACTAAAGCCATCAGGACATTGGGAAAGACAAATCCCGTCACCACCAAAGGGAAGGTGGCTGGGACCTGAGGGTGGAGTTGGGCAGCCAGGTTGGATATAAAAAACCCAACACGTGGGCCTTGGGGGGCTCGCTGTCCCTCGCCTCCTGGCTTCAGGGCTCCTGGCTGGCGGCAGCTCTCAGAGCGCCATTTGGGATTCCTGATCGGCGGATCGGGTAGGACTCATTTAAAACTTTGTCTCCCACTTTTCTCCTGAGCTGTACATTTCCTCATTTCCCTTTCCCTTGTCAATAAACCTTTTATTAACCTTTCGCGTGTGCCTGCAGTAGAGCATTGATAAGTCCTTTTAAGCGCGCGGGTGAGGACCCACAGTCAGGCACCCCGTTTTGTATCGGGGCTGCTCTACAACGATTCCAAGAGGGTAGTTGCCAACCGCTGCCCCGGGATGGTAGCTCTGCACTGCAGCTTCCAAAGAGCTTCCTCTCTCATCCTAGATCCCTCCCACTACGCTGAGGGTGGGCAGGTTACTTGCTCCACTTTACAGATGAGGAAACTGAGATTATCCTTACACTGCTCAGCTTGCAGAGATGCGCTTTATGTTTGTTCATCTTTATGTTTATCATTTGCCCCCTCACTGGTTCAAGACCCATAAGGGCCTCCATGAGCCAGACTATATACCCAAGGAATTCAAGAGTTCATGGTAGTGGAAAAAGAATTTCCCAGGTCACCTCTGCCCTAAATTAGAAGGGGAATTCGCTTATCATAAACAACCACATTTTCAGTAATAAAATTAGCATCATAACAGAAGCTCGGATGTATTTATTTCCTTATTTGTAGACCTCTTTGTTCAAAGCAGTATGCAAAATAACTTACAACAGGAGTCACATGATAAAAACACTGATAAAATAGATAAGGAGAATCAGGATCAGAGAAAATATAAACAGAGCAAGAAAACTTAGACCACGGTAAGAAAATAAGTATTTCATATCACAAGGGGCTACATAATTACCATGACTGAGCTTCTAACTTGGCTCTGAGGTTCCTGGCAGCTGAGGGGAAAAGGGAAATGTAATCTGTTATGCAATTCTTACAGTCAGAGAGGAGAAGGCTTCCTCCGGCCTCAGGGAAAACCGTCCATCCTGGGAGTGGTTCCGAAAGGGATTTCTCCCTGAGATGAGGGGGTGCAGGGAGATGGGAGGGGTCTCACTTGCCGTGCACAGATTCCTGGAGGCAACTTCTACAGAGGCCTTTGAAAAAGCTCAGCATCCAATTACGGAATTCTGCAGCCCGACAACAGACAACATGATATAAATTGGGGCCTCGACTCAACATGAGGGTGGAATTCTGAGCCCTGGGGTTGCGACAGGGGCTGAAGATGCTTCAGGCCTGACCCTCCCATGCCCCCTGGACTTTGAAAACCTTCCTTGACATACGATATACCTATAAAATGGACATCATCCCTCCCTCCTGAAAGATTCTGTGAGGCCAGAGGGGTGGCAAGGATGACACTGTGCTGGAGGCAGATGTTTGTGGCTGTGGGCCTTGGTCTCTGTTCCTGCTTCACTCCAAGGCCATCTGGGTCACCTGCGACCCAGCAGAGAGCCTTCTGCTGGCCACTGGCTTCAGTGTCCAGGGCACTTCCTGTGAGCCTAGTCCAGCTTGAATCTGTCCCTTTGACTTGGGGGAAGCACCGCCCTGCTTGGCATCCCTTCAGGGGCCAGATATTTCAATTATGAGGACTCGGTCAAGCCCTGCCCACTCTGTTTGAACTTCACTGACAAGCAGCGAAGTGAGGGTGTCTCTGGGGGAGAGGTGGGAGGGGTGCAGAGGGAGCCGCAGACAGGCAGGGGCTGAGGGGCTGAGCGGGGTTAATGGAGCAGACAGCAGACGCTTCTCCACTGCTGAGAACAAAACCACCAGCAGAGAGGAAAATATGTGTGAGGCATTTTTGTAATTCCAAGAGGTTGGGTCCAGCTCTTGCTCAGACGGTCAATGAATCAAAGCTGGGAAGAGTTCTACCTGTCAGCAGGCTTTCTC